AGCAGTGGTATCAACGCAGAGTACTTGATTACAAAACTCACATCTGCTCAGCAAGAGAGCTTCATATTTTAGAGTTACGTTGAGAATTTAGAACGACATGATTTTTCAGAATTCACCAGCTCTTCTAACTCCTACGGAAAGAAGTCTGTGACTACTTTTTAGCGCTACGTAATCTACAGAAAAAGTACTATCGAAAGGTCCTTGCTGGAGTCTAAGGGCAATGCGCGCTGCTTTACACCTTCACGAAAAGACGACTACAGAAAGATTTGAGAATATTGAAATCGGAATATCAAGGATATGCTGTATATCGAAAGACTTGCCTTGATGAACTGAGCACAAAGCTTTCTTCGGATTCAGAATATGTTCATTCCGAAGGAAGTTACGGCGAGTAGAATTTAGAAACGCGTGATTTTTCCAAAATTCACCAACGCTTCTATCTCTTTTGGGAGACAGTCTGCAGCTACTCTTGAACGCACGATAACCTACAAGGACAGTACTATCGAACAGTGCTTACTGGAATCTTTTATGTTACACAGACGCTGCGTTACATCCTTGCGAAAAGACCTCCACAGAAAAAATCCAAAAAACTGGAAATGGAATATCGAGAGCGTAACTGTATATCAAAATATTTGCCTCGACGATATGAACACAATGCTGCTTCAGGATTCGGAATACATTCATTCCAAAGGAAGTTATGGCGTTGCGTACTCTGCGTGATTCGCATGGTTTCGCGGATCCTAAGATGTCGCGAACTTCCCGGATTATCGCGCACTTTGGCGGAAATCCCCGAATTTCGCGAAGTTCACGGAAATTTTGACATTCTGTGCGCGGTATTGTGATCTTGAGCAGATCTTAGAACAAATTCGATCAGAGTGGCTTTCTGCCATACTCCTATAGTATACTGTCTATGTGTCATCAGGGACAGATCAATGGTAATACTGTTATGAGCACACTGAATTCAACCAAAATAATAATCGATAATTCTGAAAACTAATATTGTATTCGGAATCCCCATGCACGATTACCCCCCTATGCAAACTCCCAGCCCCGTAGGTGAACTCTGTAAAAAATCGATAAAAATCGATAAAATCGATATCGATCGATGACGAAAAGTAGCCTATTACAACCGCCGGGGCCCGAAGTGTATGTGTACCAAGTTTGGTCCGGATCGGTTCAGAAATGGATTTTTCTATTCGGAACATACGTACAGACAAACAGACAAACAGACGTTCAGCTTCATAAAGAAGATGATACGTCTCGTCGAGCTGAATCGAACGGTGTCCTCGGATTCAGAATTTGTCCATTCTGAAGCGAAATATGGCTAAATTGACGATCATTCCGGCGCACTGCGGCGGAGTTGGCGCACTCTGCCGCACTCCGGCGCACTCTGGCACACTTCGGCGCACTGTGGCGGAGTGTGGCGGAGTGCGCCGCAGTCCGGCGACTTTTTTGACCAATTATGAGCGGTATTGTAATGATATGTGTTCCGTAATGGGAATAGATTATCAATTTATCAGTGTTTTGCACCATACTCAATCACATACGTCACATCCAACAGCCATTTCTAAAAATTTTCATTCGCTTCGAAGCTGCATTAAGCATATCTAAACATTGACAGGTGCGAGCTGCTTCTCAGGCAGCATGAAAAAACACTGCTCCTCAAAGAGAATTCCTTTGTTTCCTATTTACACGATGTGAAATATGCACAACTATCCTAATGAAATTTATAAACGAGTTTCTCTAAGTTCTTTGAATCAACTTTTTAACCCTGTTTCTTCGTATCACGCAGTGGCGATTTCCAGGATTTTCATTCATGGGGAGGGGGGCGGGGAGGGGGGGGGGGGGGGAGGAGATGGGAAAAGACAAAAAATTTCAAATAATGATGCAAAACCTTAGCCACGCACTTTCAAAAAAAATTCTTTCTTGAGATGCTTCTCAAAATTTCAAGAAAAGAAGACGTGGCGGCAGTCACGCCCTTTTTTTTGCAAAATTACCTTGAAATTTCAAGATTTTCAGATTATTTTCATTATTTACAAGTTCAAAGAAGGCACTTGCACATTCTTATGTCTAATGTAAGTAAAATTCGAATATTTTGCCGGGAACCCGCTCTCGATGGGCCACTGCTAACAAGAAAACGAGACATTTTTTTGGGTTAGTCATGAATCAAATTAACACAAGCGCTCGTCTTTGACCCTCTTTTTGGAGAAGGAGAATCTTTCCTGCAAGACTTCCATAATTTCAAGAGTTCCATTTTTTGTTCGTACAATTTTTCATGGAATCCAAAACCGATGAAAGTAAATTTAGCAGTACTGAAAACTTATGTGAATAGCTTCATATAAGAACACACCACTATCAGTTTCTATAATACCTTCCCTTCGCATAAAAGATATTTTTTTATTATTTATTTATTAGCTATTTTTTAGGATACAGCTGAGTTTTACCATTGTAGTTTGGAAACCTCACGGTTATATAACCCTATAATATTTCCTCTTCTACTTCGCTCCCCTGCATTTGACGTCAGTCAACACTAACGCCAAAAGATTATTCTCTCATGAATACAGCAATCCCAGTTATGTTCCAGTCACTTGATGTATCGTCCCCTCCACAAATCGTGCTATCCTTGTGGCGTCGCGGACGTGCCACGTGTGACTAACACATTGGCAACGTTGGCAGCAACACGTTGGCAACATGCAGCAACATGTTGGCGTGGCCAAAATGTTCTGCCAACATGGTGGGGCATGTTGCAAACATGTTGTTGCCACGTTTTAACATGTTAGCCACACGTGGCAGGTCTGAGACGCAGAACAAGGGTACGATCTGTGGAGGGGACTATACCTGCCTGTCACAACTACATAGTACATTAACAAGCTGTTCAAGCCAAAGGTTAAACAAATTCATCTTTCATATATATCAGCATAAAGGTTATGACGCTCTAAGTAATCCAGTCATGCTGCTTTTTTACGTAACAATTACTGTAAGTTAATCAAATTGCCATATCCAAATTTTCTGATCAAATCTTTAGGTGCTTTCTGCAAAAGCATATTCTATGCCAAACATAGCAAGTTCCTGTTATGGACAGAATTCAAGTTTGTACGAGCTCAACGAAGTACTCAGAGAGGGATTTAACGAAGTTCTGAAGGAAATGTGCTCAAAAACGAGACTGGTTAGTTTATATGCTCAACTGTTGAGCGCCAATAAAGAAAATGTCCACAAACGGGTAAATTTCTACCATACTGCTGTACAAAAACACCATTCCCTTTATGTTTCAGCAGAATTTCGTTTGTCAGACTTCCACCTTTTTGGAGCTTTCTCGCCACAGCGAACCCATACTTGGGCGTGGGCGGGACATGAACCGGGGGAGGCGGGGCGCGACTTTTCTTGCGTACCTCCACTGAATGCGAACCTAGAAAGCTTTAGAGAAAACATATTTTCGATATTCTAAGCGCTGAAAAGCCCAGAAATGGATTCCTTATAGTGGGAAGACTCCGAAAAGGCGAAGAACTGGAAAGCGAAATTCTGCCGAGACACTGCCTCTAAAGGCATATCCAACTGTCGTTCGTTAAAAATCGTCTCGCGTGGCATATGAAGGCGGTATCGTAAAACACCAATGTCTTATCGTTATACAAAGCCAAACAAAAAGACCTAAGTTGAGATTTGCTGTTTAATTTTATTTACAAGTAATTCGCGAATATATTAACATTTGAGCTTGAGAATAAGGATTTTTGCATTCTGCATATTTCTGTGGGAGAGCTTGAAAACGAAATAATATTGTTTCATCCAAAAATCGGATGAGATTGTAAGATTTAGATATGTTGAAAAGCTCGACACATGGAATTGTGTTGAATTAGGGTATTAAGTGATAGTATCGTCGCCACAAGTTTTCTTATTTCGAACAACGTAAACCGTTAAATTTATGGAAAAAAAACGATAAGTAAGTCTGGCAAACAAGTTTGGCCACCTAGTGTTACACGCATGTTTTATGTCGTTAACGAGGTGGAGGGATTTCTTTTGCACATTGAAACAACCATTTTTGGATCCTTTCACCTTTTCATCCCAATGAGTTCCAAAATACCAAAAAGTAGGCTTCCTGTCATTCCAGAAAATTTTTAAGCAGAAACGAAAACTTTTGTCTCAAGATTTTTGAAACAAACTCAGTACTTCTTAAGCTATTACTCTTTTAAAGCTTATGCGAAGGGAGAGGAAGAGGGAAAGGGCACTAATCATTGAGTCATTTTTTGTAATTTTCCAAAAATATAAAAGAAGACTTTTCTCTAAGTTACTGCTGTTGGCGTCGACATATTAAGCCTAGCGCCTACGGAAAAAGTGGATAATGGTAACGACTGTATGTGCATCTATAAGAAGTGAAATATTATTTAGTAACTTTCGAGAACTTTCTTTCCATTTTTAGGAGTATAATTGCTATTTGGCGCAAACTGTGGAATTTTTGAGTCCAAGAAACGATCATGGTTTCCTTGTATTCGAATACTCAATTTACGGGTATGTTTACAGAATCAAGCTATTTGAGGAATTTCTTTGAAAGTTCCTTTTTTATAGTAATCCCTTAGCAAATTTCCTCGGAATGATAGGGGATGACTTGTACGAGCACGTGAGTTGAAGTTATTGTCTATCACTTTTTCGTATTCATAAAGAAAATGGTCCTCTGTTATAAGTTATCAAGATACTACCTAGTTTATACCTAGATACTTCTCACAAAGTTTTGAGCTTTTCGAACAGATTGCCAAATTCACTTGAACAGGGCTTTCAGTTTCGTTTCTCTGCAATATATTTTCAACCTCTTCGTCTTTTTACAGTTTAAACAGTCTTGGTGGAGGAAGCTCCTTGGCTTAGAAAACAAAAAACATTACCTTTTTGGGTGCGCTAGTTCGATGAAAGATCAGCTTTGGAAGATCAAATGTGCATTTCAAAGGAGGGATTCATCGGTCCTCCAGTGAATCAGATATACTGTTACGTGCAATTTTTTGGAAAAAAAATGTATCTATAACATTGATAGCAAAGCGATGGAAGCGATGACTCGTTACTGAGGCGCAGTAGCGTAGTAGTGGCATTGTGGTATGTAATCATCATTTGTAAGCTTATTGTTAGTATGCGAATGCTATGCGGATTGTACAATAACCACAACGGGTTTCTCAGCTTTGTTGTATTGTAAGTGTAAGAATAAAAAAAGAAAACTTGTCGCAAAGTGTCCGAGATAAATCTAATAGTATATTGCTGATTTCACCGAACGACACAACATCACATCATCCTGTTCATGATCATTCCTTAAGTAGTTTTAATACAAAGCATTCAAAATGTATCAGAAAATTGGGAGAGTTCCATAAAAAATGCACACCCTTTAAGGATAATCTCTAGGGATATTTGCCGAATACAAGAACACTCTGCTTTGGATTAATATGTGTAATTCATTGTTCAAGCAGTACTTGTTGCGAGATGTACAGGCTTCGGGATACTTCATGGGATTCCAGCCGCGACGCAATTTGGCCATACTCCAACTGATAAATCATGGTAAGCGCTTTAAATTTAACCTACCTTAAGGTACCATCTTATCCATAAGATGGTATTGCATTGCGTGTCTGGAGGCAACCTTGATCTCGGAATCACTTCGGTAGTCTTGTTCAGAATATAATAGACAACTGCGAACATGATGATGTATGATATAAGTTCAGCTTGAAGGTATTTATGCTATCATTGCGACCTGATCTCGTAATTACAAGCGTCGGCTGTATTGCTTTGGGCACGGTCACGACCATGCCATAATTTGAGGTGCGAAGTTCCATGCTGCGGGCGATGCCTTGCCCTTGTGACTGACAGCTCGTAAAGTTAATTCACAATATATCGAAATTTTTGACGTTTGAGCATTTCAAATAATTTTTAAAATTTTTGAAATTAAACTCATGACTTCAGTCTAGCAAAATAGATAAACCAAGAAAAGCAACTTACCAAGTATCATGAAAGTGGAAATTGTAGAGTAAATAAAATAACGAAATTCGCCTCTAGATGCGATTATGCCAAATCTGGGTGCAAGTGCACCCAGTCAGATCTGGCAATCATAATAGAAAAAGAAGTGAAAATGCAGCCTCTTTCGGTGATGCAAGGGTGTGTGATTTATACATTTTCTAAAAGCATTTTTTGCGTAGATTCAGAATATGTGTAAGTTATGAAGTCTAAGGCGACATGAAATTCGTAAGAATTTCGTGAAATTATCGTTGACATTTGCACTTTTCCCGGAACCATCAGACACTTCTTGTTTGCAAATTACATTTTCAAAGGTGAAATTCTCAAATAGCAAGCACTATTACAGATGTGGATGAAGTTTCGACTCTTTTACTGACCGACTGCCTGCAATACGGTCTCGATAATGTGGCACCATAATGACAGCGATGCATGCGCACCTCAGTTTAAGTACATGTATCTTGGAAGGCATTCCATACAATAGACTAGACTCACCTTGAATTGTTGAAAGAGTCCTTGTACTCTACTGATAGTGAAGTTATTTGAACAAGGCTGCATGAATTTGAAAATTATGAAGCCTTGAAATCGGCAGCTCGCGTCTACAGGCTAGGTCGTTCTTGAGAGGCCAAATCAGCCAGCATCATAGTTGGTAAACCGAAATTATCAATGAAACAACGCAATGCTCATTGCTGTCGATTTCTGATATAAATTTTGCGATTTATTCAAATTTTTCGTAAATTTGACCTAAATTTGATAAAAATATTTCAAATAATCACTAAATGCTTCGTACAAGAGCTTTTTTGATTTTTTGACGCACTTCTAAGTCAGAATTCTGCCAGGAGTCCAAAAATCTACTTGTTACTCCATGAAACTTATGTTCAAGCAAGTTTATTCGGAGCGACGGTTTTGTCGCGATAAATACGTTGCGATAGATCAAATAAAAGCATTATCAAAATTTTAACAGTTATTCTGAATCGCTAAGTTCTCAGCAATCCAATGATGGTCTCAGTTTCTTTTGAAAACTAGTTTAAAAAAAGTTACAGCATTGCGACGGTTTTGCGAAGAAAAATATGTCGCGACGGAAAAATTTGTCGCAATCCGTTTTTTTTTTTCCTATGAGTTAGGAGCTCAATTGTAGAGAAGAAGACTTTGAAAAAAGCGCTTTTGAACGCAACAAAGTTCTTATTCATTCCTCGAAAACTCCAGACCTTCACTTACCGATCACCGTTTTGTTAGCTATTGTAGAGTACTCAAAAAATAAGAGGGCCTATTGAATGACAGCAAGTCAAATATGTCTTTTAGGCTTTATTGATTACTGAACAATCCATGCACAAGAAAAAAATACAAAACCATTACAGCAGCTTGCCGGAGATTTTCTGAACACAACAAACGAAAAAACTTTTGTGATGATCTAATAGTATCTCCTTAACTGAATCTGATATAATCCGCTTGGGAGTTAAGGTGCAAGTTGATGCAATTCGTTGGCTACTGTTTACCTTTTTCTCTCGATATGGAAAGAGTCTACGCTGTGCTTTACCTCATTGCCAACTTAAGAGCAAGCAAACCTCAAATTACTTTTGACTGACTAATAGTTAGCGTCTAAATGAAGGGGGCACTTTACTAATGTCACTTGAGTACGTTCGCACATCTATAAACACAATAAAGTTAATCAGGCCAAATTGTGAACATTTATATAAAAAGGAGCAAATCAACACAGTTATATGAACATTTATAATACAGGGTGTCCGTAAAGTATGTATCCACTGTTTGATCGTTAATGTCTTTCTTCCCAACAAGTCTTTTGCCTTGCTTCAGGTACCGTTTTGTAGAGCTGGCATCAACTTAGATTTGCAGTATGGAGCGAATCACCGATCTCTCTTCATTACTGTAGGATTACGGTAGAAATTTGAACCATATGGTGTCAATATGGAAAAAGCTGTCGCTTTGAAAATTTTTCCAAAAAAAAGTGAAAACTTGCGTAATGGGGTTTCTATGGACGCTAAGTTCAATACTCAACTATTCACAAGATTGCGAAGCTTTCTAAACGGTGCAACCGCACTCTTTAAGAACATTGAAAAAATGGCCGCTACCTCTTACCCGGCATAAGTCTTCAATGAAGCATCATAACAAGTTGGAAACTTTACATTCAGAATCGACAACTCTAATTAGCCCTAGTGTAAAAGCTTTCAGGCCGTTTTGTATCCTCTGAGGCCAAATATGGCCTTTCACGGCTCAAAACACTTTTTGAAGTTTCTACCGTAATCCTACAGTAATGAAGAGAGATCGGTGACTCGTTCTATAATGCAAATCTAAGTTGAAGCCAGCTCTACAAAACGGTACCTGAGGCAAGGCAAAAGACTTGTTGGGAAGAAAGATATCAACGATTAAACAGTATAGTTAGCACCGAATATTCGTGTTCGAATAATTTATTCGAAATATTTAACTATTCGAATATTCGAATAGTCGCATATTTGAGAAAGTCCATTTATTCGATTATCCGAATAGTCGAATAAATGAGAAAGGCCTATATTCGAATAATTTGTTCATTCGACGATTTCGAAAAATGACTTATTTGAATATTCGTTCATTCGACGAGTTTTAAATAAAGGTTATTCGAATATTCATTCATTCGAGTAGTTTCAAAAGATAGTTATTCGAATATTCGAATATTCGAATACTGCATTCAAATATTTGAATAATATCCGACATTTATTCGAAATTAGTCGAATATTCGATCAAGTTCGGTTATTCGAGTATTCGTTCATTCGAATTTTGGAATGTGCCAATATTCGAATATTCAAATTCGAATAAAATAAAAATCGAAAGTCGAATAATATTCGTTCATTCGAAAAATTTTCGAAAATCAAATATTCGATATTCATTCGTTCGAAAAATTTTCGAAAATCAAATATTCGACATTCATTCGTTCGAAAATCAATTATTCGATATTCGTTCGAAAAAATTGCAAAAATTGATTATTCGATATTCGTTCATTCGGGAAAATTTTTGTTCGTTACAACTATATTGAACAGTGTATACATACTTTACGGACACTCTTTACATTGAGTACTATAACTGAATGCCGCATATAAACATTTGAAAAAATGCGAATTACTTCGTCATTGAGTTTTACGAAACCACATATTTATGATAGTGAAAAACTCTAGAACGTTTATTTGGCTTGTTGGTAGGTTAGAAAGTCGAAAAGAATGAGCACGTTGGAAATTCATTATTTCATTCTTCAAACAAGCTTGATATTACAAAGAGATGGCATGTGTTAGCATCCTGCATAAACCATTTTTCAATTTTTTGACGCCGTAGTTGTAGCTCTACAAGCTTGAATGCTGGCTTTTAGATTTTCAAGCTTGCTTACTCAACCAACAAGGGCATTCAAAGTGGAACTTACTACATAAATTCAGCGTGAGATCAGCAAAATGATTGATTTAATCACTATAGCGTGCAGCGATAATAGAGCACTTAGTGGTAATGAGCTTGATTTTTACTTGCTGAGTAAAACTGAACAAACCCAAGCCTGCTGTAGTGCTTTGAATCAAAAGGGAATTCTTGAAGAATAAGAGATTAAATTATGTTGTCCTGAGCTGTGAATCATCAAAGATGTCGATAGTAAGAGCAGAAGAAGACATAACAATGCAAGTTTGCCTGCCGGTATCAGCAGATATTAGAGGCTAATGAGTTGGTTACAAGTGTTAGATTCTTTTTGTGATGCTGCTAGTGACTGGTTGATATTCCTATTTCTCATTGACATGTTGACGACAACTTGCACTTTTAGTTGTCTGCCTCTTGGGAGAATGCCTCTCACGGATACGAGAATTTTTTTTTAGCTAAGATCATGCAATCGTGTCACCTACAGTATACCTACAGTAATTCTATGAAGGAGGCGAGAAACGCAAGAGCTATTTCTAGGATCAAAGCGTAGGAGAATTTCTGAAACAAATGAATTCCAAACAAGCAGTCTTTCAAC